AATATTAATACTGTTGAAAAACCAGTATAAGATCACTTTTTTCAATAACCTTCTCAGAAATGTTCCCAAAATGAGGTTCAGTACCTATCCATCTGCATTCACTGGAAGACTCCGTTTACAAGAGCAGAAGGCAGAGGGAGGCTGCACACAGGTGAGCTAAGGTGAGCCACCTCACAATCCCTCACATGCTGTTTTATGTTACAGGATAAAGCCAACCATCAAAGAGCAGAGGCTGCAGCCTGAGGTGAGCCCTCGGGCAGCAATTGGAGTGGAAACAGAGGCTCTGCACAGTGCTGTGCCCTGCCACAGAAAGGGAGGTAAGGTTAGTAAGAGCCCTTAAGCTTCCTCCTACCATGGGATCCTAAAATCGTGTCTGTACAGAGACAAGTTTCTTCATTTGGGGTAGAATCCTTTCCTTTCAGAAGTTCCCTGTCCATCTAACATTATCTGACCTTCAGACATTGCCATGTCACACAACCCACAAGACAGGGTAGTTTCTGCACTGCATGGTGACCACATCTGTGTCAAGGCTTGTGCTTTGTTCTATTATGGAAGATCTAAATCAGTTGAGATGGGTCAACTTCCACTGTTCTCTTCCAACTTCTTCTGTGTGTCTAGAGAAGACAGACAAACTCTGCCACAATTTTCAAGGCAGCAAGAGAGTAGCTTTTTGACACATCACTAAAATCCATGGAAGATTTCTTTAAACCCCAAGATTTCACTGAAGTGGATGCAGAATCAGAATAAGAACAATCATGAGCTGTAACAATTTTGATCCAAGCCATGTACAAATATTCTAACCTTTAAGTTCTGTTGGCAATTTTAAAATGTCAGGAAGTATGTCAAGTTTTTAGTACCCAGGTCTACATATTTAATTGTCAACAGCCCAAATATCCAAGATAAGATATTAATTCCAGCTGGACCCCATTTTAAGATCAGTTGAAAAATCATTATATATCTTCCTCTTAAACTAGGGATTAGCGCTTGCTTGCTCTACTTTTTAACTATATTCTTACTGATTTTCTAGAACACCTACTGCACTGTTCGTTCTAGTTTTAATTTCAAAGCAGTCAAGCGCAAGAGATCTCTGCAAGACTATCATGTTACATCACTGATCTGCACTAGCAGAAGGCTCAATTTGCTCAGTAATAAGCAATGTAGGTCAAAGGTCATGACTGAGAAAAGACAAAGGGTATTGTTTACACCCATGTCAATCAGAAACAGCTCTATTGAAATCAATTGAGTTACATTTGTCTCAAATCAGCGTGAAAGAGAATTCTGTGTTTGCAGAATTTGGATTACGTGGCAGTCAGGCATTCACCTTTATTAGTCTGTAGCAGGAAGCATTACAGACTACCAAGTGAAATACTAGATCTGCTATATTGGCTTTTTAATCAAAATGGGTTTTATTCTTTTATCAGCAAATCAAATTCATGTCACATTTTCAGCTCACTGGCTTCCACTGTGTTATCTAATCTGCTTCATGGTATGAATTAATAGATTCTATAATTTTGCATTAGAGAATTCATCTGAGGTAAGAGAACAGTAATTTATGTCCTACTTTTTAAAGAAAAAAAAAAACAACCCAAAACCCAACACCAAAACCCAGCTCTTCCATCTATTTACAACTATTAAAAAACTTTTGGATATGCAAGATTTTTTATTTCCTGGCTTTTGATATTCACAGAATCATGCACATCTGATAGTCCTAGAACACATACAATTTAAAAGGCATATTCCTGACTTTACGGGAAAGGTTTAATTTAGCTTGTTCAGGGATCTGGTTGGAAAAGTGGCATGGGATATAGCTCTGGAGACAAAAGGAGCCCAGGAGACCTGACTTATTTTCAAGGATCACCTTCTCCAAGCTCAAAAGTGGTCCTTCCCGATAAGCATGAAACCAAGCAAAGATGGCAGGAGGTCTTCATGGATGAACACGGAGCTCCTGATGAAACTCAAACATAAAAGGACAGCATGCAGGAAGTGAGAGCAGGGACAAGAGACCCAGGAAGAATATAAAGACACTGAGCATGCATGGTTGGGGTTAGGAAAGCCAAAGCACTTCTGAAGTTAAACCTGGTGCAGGATGTGAAGGCCAACAAAAAGGGCTTCTATAGGTGTATCAGCAGCAACAGGAAAGCTACGGAAAATGTGTGCCTGCTGCTAAATGGGGTATGGGACCTGGTGACAAAGAATGCAGGAAAGGTCAAGGAACTCAGGGCCTTCTTTGGCTGTCTTTAATGGTAGGATTTCCCTTCAGGAATCCCAGGCCCATGAGACCAGAGAGAAAGTTCGGAGCAAGGAAGACTTACTGTTGGCAAAGAAGGATCAGGTTAAGGAACATTTAAACAAACTGGACATACACAAGTCTATGGGACCTGATGGGATGTGCCAAAAATGCTGAGAGAGCTGGCCAATGTCACTTGTTTATCTTGACTTCAGCAAAGCTTTTGACACTGCCTCCCATAACATCCTCATAGACAAACTGATGAAATATGGATGAGATAAACAGACAGTGAGGCATACTGAGAACTGGCTGGACTGCGAGGCTCAAAGGGGTTGTGATCAGCAGCACAAAATCCATCTAGAGGCCAGTCACTAGTGGTGTACACCAGTGGTTAATAATGGGACCAATACTGTTTAACACCTTCATTAATGACCAAGAGGGTGTGACAAAATGCAGCCTCAGGAATTCTGCAGATGGAGAACTAGGAGGAGCTGTTGATACATCAGATGGTTGTGTCATTCAGAGAGACCTTGAGGGACCTTGACAGACTGTCAACTGGACAGACAAGAATCTGTACTGGTTTTGGCCGAAACCAGATGTGACATGAAAAAATGGTGCAGTATTTCCCAAATGTGCATCCACCTAACTGGCACTAAAATAATATTTTCTTCCACCACAAAACAAGCAATTTTTTTACAGCTGTTCTGACCCAAACTAGTCACACTCATTTATGCACATTCTGAAATGCTTTCGTTATTTGAAGATGTCCCTGCTCACTGCAGGCAGGTTGGACTAGATGACCTTTAAAGGTCCCTTCCAACTCAAATCATTCTAAGATTCTATGATTCTAAGGCTTATATATTTATCATACTACAAACATGAATACTTACATAATGACGAGCCAAAGTAAGAAGAAACACTGACAACATGGAGATCAATAACTTTGACCATTAGTCTATATAGCTCTTCTTCTGAGAGCAATTAATTTGTACTTATCTTATGATTAATGTAATCATCCTCTGGTGACCTTATTGATTATAAATGTAACCTGAGACAGCCACCATAGCCTAGGATGACTAATGAGATGACACAAAAGTCATAGAAGGGATTCATACCCTCTCTGTAAAGCTGTATCAACAATTTCCCCTGGTCAAGATGACAGGTAAGTGCCAAGAATCATCAGAAAAACCCAGCAATTGTTTAAGTGACATGAGGTTATACTGTTGTGGCATACAAGTGAAACATTTTAAATACTTTTTAAATAAAATATAAACTGGATATGCAAAGGTGAGCCTACTATATCTCAGATCCAAAACTTTAAATGAGATACATCTCATCCTGTTTATGTTCCCTCTAAATACAGACCGTTCCAATGCTTACTATACCAAACTTTTTTTATTTCAAACAAACTTCTGTACAAAAAACATTATAGCAGGCAAAGAAATTCAGTGACTTCGGCAAACAGCACATGACAACTCGCAGAATGCTTTAAGGTTTACATTTTTATTATACAAGTGACAAATAGCTTTCCTCTGGGCTACTTAAAGATAAGACTTCTTCGTTTGACAAATAATCACAGGTAAAGCGTGTATTAACTTCAGTTACCAAAGCTCAACAGAATGACCTGTCACCCACCTAGATTTACCTAACTGGAAGTGACTATGAACAAAGCAGGATTTCCCCTAATATACATTTGTAAATGATCCCCCATTAAAAATGGAGTTTGTAAACAGTGGATTTACTACTGTGGAAAAGCAGTGTGATTACTGCTTCTAGAAAAAGAAAAACTAGTGTGATTTCTAATTCTGTTCCCGACAACAACATAGTGATCTGCTGCTACAACTGCAGATGTGTGACATGAACGCTGGAGTTGCGGTGCTGTCCGGTATCACAATACGTATAGCGCTGGCGCCGATGGGTTCTGATCAGGCTTGAGAAACCTCATACTGGGAATAAACTCTAAGGCAATTCTTACTCCAAAGAACTTATAATATTAATACTGTTGCAGGACTGAGTTTAACAACTGAATTTGTCACAGTGCAGCCAAGTTTCAGCAGACCAAATGCATCTTAAAAGTCTTAAGGTAATGTTTTATAAGTGATACGCATGAAAATTCCAGTGAGAGCACACAAACTCTGATTTACGTACACAGGAATAAGCAAATACAAATCTGAATCTGTGCACAAGCACTGGAGTTTTCACACATACATGCAAGCAAAGTACACAAAAATCAAACACTTTTTCAGAATGTGACCTCTGCAAGAATATGTACAGCAACTGCAGACCACCCAGAAGACACACTTAACAGAGCATGAGCACTTTGCTGCTTTTGTCAAAGTATTTCTATACCATTTACCAGAAAAATTACTAGAAAGTAAGAACAAACAACTCAGCAAGGAACTCAACGCCTTGAAGTATCAATCACATCTCAAAAACCAATGAAGAGCAGTCAGCTGATAAATATTTCTGTGTGGATTCTCAATCATCTAATGAATAACACTGTCAAGGAACTTGATGGGGGGCCTAAGAACAGCTCAGCTCTTAAAACTTATTTTTCTCATCCCTAGTGTGATGAGGCCAATTTGACACTAGGGGAGTTTGCTCCTACAGAAGAGTGTTCTGCTTGATACTGGTTTATATCAGCAAAAAAATTACTCACTGGGTAGAGCGGAGAGATAATGTTCATCAAGATATATTTACACTGACAAACCCCTTCTAGTTAAGTCAAGGCATTAGTATTTTCCTTTCCCTTTCTAAATCTAATAAAATTATACTAGCAATGGTCTTGAAACACATCTTCTTTTTATTTATATTGAATCTGAAAAAGGATATTAATTTCCTCAATGGTGGAAAGGTACAGGTTATACTTAACAAAAAAAGGTAAAATGACCACTTTGCAATACATTTTGGAAAGTCAGCCAGCACATAATCCTTAACATTAGGTGGATCCCCACTTATTTCAGGAAAGACAACATATTTTATGAGAGTGATGAACATTCAGATATTCTTCTATTCATACAAATTTGATGAGATCCTAAAACTAACTGACTAAAAAACTGCACATGTTCTTAAAACATATCAAATTAATTTTACTTTCTCTTATATTAACTTTCCCCTCCTTTAAAGTTCCTTTTCTGTGGTATCTTTGACATTTCAGTTTATTTGATTTCCATTCTGTCTTTACTACTACTTACTTCTTTGATAGAGAAGGTGTTTAAAGATTAAAATGCACAGATAAACTGTTGCAGCTGAAGTATCTAAGTAAAAAACTATTTTAAAAGTGAAAAGATAAAGGGTAGCATAAAAACTTAGGCTGCACTATATAAAGTCAGGTTATGAACAGATTCATATATTTTAGCAATGTGAAGAAAATGGTTATGTAAATACACACAAGTATTAACATCAAACTGTATTAAATTATGTAAACATACACATCTTCTGTGATCAATACAAACATCTACTTGTCTCCGGATACTACTGCAGCATAGCTCGAATTTGTTTTGAAGTAGATTCATCATTCAGGTGTTTTGTAGTGAACCTAGAAATTACAAGTTAAAACAGTATTTTTAAAAATGAACAGGGATTTAAAAACTCTGAAAACTTCAGTGCCTCTTTTTGAAATCAGTGCAGTACAATTACATGTTCCTCTGATCACTGATCACTGGAATTTAACTGCTAATACTCTGGTGCTCTTTATCTTCTAAATGCCCCTTTGCAATAAATTATTCCCTGTTAAAAGGTGGAGGATTGTGGCTAAATCCTGTTTGCCATCAACCTATGACACTGTCATAATTTTGGATCAAAATTATCTCTTTTTTTCCAGTTAAAAGCCTCAAAAGAAGTGAAAATCATGGGAAGACATAAGAAATAGGGTAAATACTAAAAGGATTTAGGAATCTAGATTGAATTTTGGCATAATCTATAAGCCTAATTTTAAGTGGTTTTCTGAAATGTCCTGAGGGGACTGAAGAGCTTTAGTGTGGTTTTTTGCACTTAAGCCCAAACATCCTCCACTGCTTGTGTTCGCATGGAGATTGATTATCACATAACTCAAAACACACCTGATACTGTAGGATTTAAATCCACATTGATTTTAATTCAAAAGACATGATAAGCAAATATAGAGGTGGTTATGGCTGCAGTTCTCACTCTATCCAAGCATTCAACAGCTAGAGAATTTAATACATCTCTGAAAAACCTGGTACTAAGACTCCCTTCTCAGATTCCCAAGACAGCATCCTAAACACTTAGCTACAGGATTGAGATTTGGGTTGTTTTTTTTTTTGAAGTTGTATCATTTACCAAAATTAAAAAAGGAAAAAAAAAGAAGTCTTAATAAAAAGGATAGAGAGAAGGGAAGTATCAAGGGTTTGAGAAATAGGAATTCTATTATTTGCTCCTAAAATGTTTTAGTTGCTGTGTATTTTATATAACAAATTTTAGCTTACATATTTTGGTTACCTTTGATGTATTGTTTACCTTTCAGATGGCTAAGTTTTAGGTGATAAAACAAACCTTAAGTGTCTCTGAAGAAGGACATTATGACTTCCAATATTAAGTCACTTCTTATCAAAATGGAACGGAATTGAAAGAAACAATTACTACTTAGGAAAACCCCAAGTGATGAAGGCAAATCTGAAAGAACAATTTCCTTAATAAGTTAACTTTCTAAGGTTAAAAGTCTTAAATACGAAGAGATTGGGAATTTGTTAAGTCAGAATCAAACAATTATTCCACACATACCTGAGAGCATTCAGAAGTCCTTCCACAGTGTCAGGTGGTTGTTCCTTTAAAACTTTTATGCATCCCTTCATCTGGGAACAGAAGCATGCCACTATTGAACAATAATATATGAATTGCACTAGCTGAAAACAAGGAAAATTTCACCATAGACAGGCAGGTTTTTTTCCCTACTAAGTGTTAATCCTGCTTTATATTACAAAATAAAAGCATTATAACTTATTAAATATTATCTTAAGTTAAAAACCTAACTTTTGAGAAAACAACATTACACTTCAGTAAGTGTTTGTAGATAGTAAATTATATATCAAGTATGTATATTTTAATTTGCACATGATTTCTCCAATTCCAACTAAAAAAATATCAAGAACAGCTGATATAAGCTAAGAAAAGAGATTTTGGAAGAGTTCCATGTCATTGCTGTTAGCAGCTATCAGAAAAGATGTTTCTACATTGACTTATTTTTAATGCTTGCACACAAGGAAGTAATTTTCAGTATTCAGTTTTTAGTTTTAAATGTAACTAGTGATAACTTATGATTTGCTTCATAACTAGTGGTTACAAATTTAATCTGAGATAAGAAGTCCATTATGTTGATTTTAAACGCTACACTGAAAGTTTTCGCAGAGAGTGTAAAAAGCAGGCTGAAACTCTGCCCAAATTCACAAAAGGGGAAATGAAGTAGAGAAAGCAGAGGTAGAACTCATTTGACCCACCCTACAGGCTCCCTTTCTAGGCAAGAGAGAGAAATAAGAAATTCCTCTAACCTATTCAGAATATGTAATGAACTGTACTCCAGAAGTACCAATTTCTGCTCATTGCTATTGAAGACATCTAATAGCTACCCAGAAATTAGTCTAGATTAATTCTATCTAATTTAAAATGACAGATAAATAAAAGGCAGAGTCAAGATCTGAACATTCTAATTTTCAAAGTCACATTACAGTGCTAAATCTACATGCCAGTATTTTCTTTGCAACCAAAAAGCAAAGAAAATGTGGCCTTATTATGGAAGTAGATGATTAAATATTTAACCGAAGTCAGGGTCCATGTATTTGCCAATAAAAATTATTCAGAAAATGTAGCTCAGTCTCCTGCACAATGACCAGCTTAACACTCACTGATCACTGCTCAGTTGGCTCATTCTACCTGGAAGATAAACGTAGCTTTGCAAAAAGCAGATCAGAGTAAATTCTCAGGATAGCAGCGCATGCTTTGAAGTGACACAGTTACTTTTCCTGAACTAGAGAAACTAAAGACTATATTCATATCACTCAGTACAGGTTTACATGCCCCATCAGATCAGACCAGACAAGCTCAAAGGGGATAAAAATTCAAACCATTCTTTTCTGGTTTTGTTAGAATCAGAATCCTTAAAACAGTCAGAAAAGAGAAGCTGTTAAGACATGTACGCTACAAGCCTGTAATTAACAGCTTGAAATACAGTCTCCAGTCTTGAAAGAGTAAGGAAAGGGCAATTTGTTCCACTGTCCCTGAAATTCTCTTGAAATGGTTCCAAAGTAGTGACTAGTTTGGAGAAAAGAATTGTTTTTCACAGTAAAACAAACTCATAATCTGAAATATTAGAAGATTTTTTTTTTTTAATTAGAGAAGAATCACTAAACTAATTAGGCTAATTAAGATTTGGGACCACGTACTCATTTTTAAAAACTAAGTCATACATCTCCTGCCTACCATTTACATCTAGCTAACTTTCCTGTAAGATTACAGGACTTTAGGATAAATGGGAGAAACAAAGTACACACTTTGTATATTTGGTCCTATCAAAATTTCACTTGTGTTGCCTCTGTAGGCAAAAGACTGAATTAGCTGTCAGGAAGTCTGCATTCAGTTCCCGGGCTCTATCTGCTGCATGACCTTGAGCAAATCAATTCACCTCTTTGTGACCCTCTGTAAAACAGAGTCAAAGAGGAGATGTGGTAAAATACTGATATCTGCAGATGAAAAATGCTAACACAAAGGCTCAGTGTTAAGGGGCAATAATATATATATATTTTATATATATATATATATTTCTTTTCTTTTGAAGTAGGCTCTCTTGTAAAGGGAAAGATTTAGCATCTTTTTCATGAATTACAGCTTATTTCTGCTGAAAGACATGGTGTATGACATTCAGGTTAGTAGAAACGTAAGCAAGAATAAGAGTACTTTTTTGTCTGTGCTTGTAATATCTCAGATGTAAAAATAAGGTTGATTTCCCTGTGACTGGTCACGCCAAAACTACGATTGAAGGCTCATTATCCACATTACAACACTAATATTTCAGTTCTGCTACTTCAGATCTCAGACAAAGCAGAGACAATGTCAAATATCTGCTTATTTACAACAGAAGTACTGCCAAAGATAGACATTTTAGTGTAAATAAATTACATGATTAATAAAAAATTATGACGATAGAACTTATTCCAGAGTAGGTGTAACACAACATTATTTTAGGTAACCATACAGTTAGCAGGAAAGCAGAGCTAACTAAGACAAATGAGTATCTGTGTCTGGAGGAAAATATGAACTAAAAAAGACTGATCCTTATTTTAATTTCAAACAAGCTGATACATTAAAGTATGCAGGTGAAGATAAATTCTAAATTTTGCCATTCAAAAGTAATTAAAATGATTTATACAAAGTCATAAGCTTGTGCTGAAAAAAAGCTGCAGACTAGTATTTTCAAACCTACAGAGTATTAAAGAAACATCACTCTTACATCAATCTTTGATGTCTTTGAGAAAGCTCCCACAGGATGAACATGATCATACAGAATAATAACTCCCACCATTACTCGCATGCAGAACATAAGGGTCTCTTCACTGGTGAATCTACTCCTGTACTCTCTGGAAAACACAACAAAAGAAAAACTTTTTACTGGCCAATTTTGCAAACCAGACTATGAGTGCAAGAAATCTGAACTAAAATTGTATTTGAAGTCCAAAGAGTCTTTCTTTGACTTTTAAATTCCAAAATAAGAATATGGATGGCTCAGTTAAGACAGGCCCTATTGGCTCTAATCCCTGAAACCATCATGAAGTACAGTAGAGAAAACAGAAATCCTGAAAAACAGAAATTATCACAATTTTTCTAACAAATTTTTAGTAAATAATTCATGGATTTGCCTACTGTCATTCACTGATTTTCAATATAAAACGATTTCTTCACTTAACTGTATCATTAAAATACTAAAATCTATACTGTACTACCTCTCAGTTTACAATAACTTCAACTTTTATACTTACACAGCATCACAACATGAATATAACACACAATAACCTCAGGAGTCCTATCCTTTACATGGCACCATAAATAAATGATTCAAAGACAGGAAGATTACAAAATACTCAACTAAATGCAAAGCTAAACAATAGCAACCCCACTAGCTATAGCGACACTACTAGACAGGATACAGCTACCCCAAGTAAGACGGCAGCATCCAAAAAAGACCTACTCAAATGATCCTCAAAATAGTCCCAGTGTATCATTTGCAAATGCACTGCTTGGAAGAGGGAAAATCTTACCCCCAAGTGTGCTAATAACTGAGCAGCATGGGCAATCAAGAGATGGTAGTTTGTCTATGGCCCTGGTTAGACAAGACGCAGACACTGAAGCCTGTGCACTTAAGATTACACTTGTATTTTCGGCTTTAGTTGAAATACAGGCTGACCATGTAAGTGCTGCTTAACAAATCTCAATGCTGGTTCATGAAAAATATCATAAGGTGGTTAAAACAGGAGGCAAGGCTTTCTAATACCAGGTCATGTTTTGTATAAAAAAGTGATAACAACTTGAGGCAAACACACAGGAATTCCTTTGGAAATGTCCTGGTTTTTAGCTGGAACAGAGCTGGGTTTCTTTTTAGTAGGTAGAATAGTGCTGCATTTTGCTTTCAGCCTGGGATTTGTTATGAGAGAGACACTGAGAACATACCAGTGTTTGCATTTTGTTGCTGTAAGTGAAGGACTTTGTGTTCTGTTAGTCTACAAGTGCAAGATCTAAGGGAGTGAGGAATATTTAAATTAATAAGGTAACTTGGCGTTTGGGTATGCCAATGAGATATTCCATATCATATCATGTCACGTCCACTATATTAGTGAGGGTCTCTTCCTCTTTTAGCTCTCTGGCTTTCGCTCGGGCTCTCACTCTTCTGGGATTGCGGTTTCGGTTCGGGATTGTCGCTCCTCCAGGATTGTTACCTGGGAATGGCCTGGTCGGCAGGTGGTGAGCAACTGTACTGTGTATCACTCATTTGCATATTTTGTTACTGTTATTATCAATTACTATTTTAGTATTAGTCTTATTTTAAGTTTTCTTTTATTTTTATTATTAAATTGTTCTTATCTCGCCCTACGAGTCTCCTTCCCCTTGCTCCGAATCCTCTGCCCTAATCCCCTGGGGTTGTGGGGAAGTGGGTGAACAGCTGTGTTGGCTGCTAGCCAAGGGCTAGCCCAGTGAAACCACCACAGGAAAAAAAATGATGTTTACCCCAGGTGGTTACTTAAAATATACTACAAATTCTCATACAGGAAAAACAAGATTTAAGGTAAAACTTACGGTGTTTCCAACATGACTTTACACACACTTGCCATAGTACTTAGACAGTCCGTTGTATTTTCAATTGGTAACGTTTTGTTCTATAAGGGTTAAAAACAGGCAATGTTCAGTAAACCATCTTGTAAAATTAAAATCTAGAATGTCTGTGTTAGACTTTTTCTCCCCCATTACCTACTTCTGATACAAAATGTGTAGTTGCATTACTGAGCGTTTTCAGCATTGGTGTGGCTTCTGCATAAAAGAGGGACATTCTATTGGCCATTTCATTGTTTACTTCATTCTCAATGTCTAGCTGATGAAAACATGAGAAAAAATAGTCAGTAAAACTCTTTAAAAATCTTGCCAGCAACAAGAAAAAGATACAGTACATGCCCATGTCAGCAAGCAGATTGTTGCATGGTTACACTCAAATTGCTTCATCCAGGCTGCGGATTAACTCTCGGGCTGAAGTAGAGAACATGACTGCTAGCGAATCAAAAGAAAAAAACACTACCACAAATGGTAGAAATGCAGAATGAATAAACACCTCAGTGTGAACAGCTGATCACATTTTATCTACTTACATGCATGTTGTTTATTCTGTTGCGACTTATTGTCCGCCTATAGTAACTGAAGTCATTCTGAATTGCTGGGTTTCTCATCTTTGAGGAAGACACATAGGAAACAATCAGTTTCAGTTCAAAATACATGGAAAAAAATCAAGAATGTATTAAAAGACTTTACTAACCTTAAGTTCATCAAAACGGAGAGTAAAATGTAAGATTTCTGCAAACTCTTTAGCTAGAGCCTGTTCCCGTTCCAGGTGCTGAGTTGGAGTATAAGGTGGGCACGTCAAGGACTCCAATAAGCTCTGCAGGGCTTTCTCTGAACAAAAAATCAGAAGCACAAATTCTATTCAGCCTACATTATGACAAAGTTTTAAGTAAGTACCTAAGTATACTTCGTTTGAAGGGAAGGAACCCTCCAAACATGCAGAACCTTAATAGAAATGCTTTTTCTGACTACTATAAGCTGAGAAACATTGGTCAAAGACACCTGCCTTTTCAGGCTCTCTGCCATTTTCTCTCCATTTTGTATCACTGAGGTTTTCCCTTTTTATCACTCTTCATCTGGGTTCCCTATTGAAAATTCTACAGAAATCATTTTTCTCACACTCAGATATTCAACTTTTATCTTCCCCAATTAGCCATCAGCTCAGTATGGAGATTATTCTGGGCTGTCTGTTACTGAAAGTGTACTCTTAGGCATTGATAGCAGTGTAATTCAGCTCCTGTGGCTATAATTACCAGCATAACTCAGAAGGTGAAAGACTTAGTGCGCAGGATGTTGTAGAAGAATTCCCCTGCTTGGGGAGCTCTTCCACTTCATAAATACATTTTTACACACTGGTTCTCTTCCAGAGTCCTAATTCAAGGAGTAATTACATCATTTTTTAGGTTTGTAGGGATGACAAAGTCAATGTAAAATATGCCCAACTTTGGATTTTCACCCTGTGAGAGAGTTTATTGATACCCTTCTCGTCCTGTTACCCTTGTTTTTAAAAAGTCTCAATATCAGTTTACATTTCTTTTAAAACTCTGAAGGATACAAATTACAAAAAATAAATTGCCTGAGTACAATACGGACCAGCGAAGCGCAGATGAGTGGCAGGCACCAGAGAAAAATTTTATACAGTTTTATCAAGTTCTTTGTACTCTATTTAGATAATACATATTTATTTTAAGTGACATACTAACAAATTCTGATAATTTTGAAATTAAATTAAAATTAAAAATATGCTTTGATAAATGTAATTTCAGTTAAATGTCTGTTGATATCACACAGAAAGAATAATAACCTTTTAAAAGTCTGTGGAAAAATAAACTACTTATTTCTTTATATATAAAGTAGCCTAATAAACAGACATACTAAAATAGGGCTCACCTAATCTGAGTGAAAACTCATAAAAGCGCTTCAGCCTTACAACCAGAGGACACACTGAATTCCATGCTTTTTCTTGCAACTGGATATCATTGGGATTTTGTATTGCCTGAAATGAAATATTACTGTAAAGAACTGCAATATATGAATAATAAGCAAAAGGTGGTTTGGAATTTTTCAACTACATTATTTTAGAAACTAAGTATTGTAAAACATAGAACAACTATAAAAAATTACATCGCACAGGAATAGGAAATTAGTCCCAAAAATACCATGTTTTCCACCTTTCCTCTCCCCCTGTAACATGCTGATATAAAAATATGCATTCCAATGCACCACTGACATACAGAAACAGGTTTTATTCTTTGGGGAGCAAAACTATTGTAGAAGTATCAGGTAAGACCTTTTGTATGATGACTGGTTGCAGAAATAGCTTTTTATTTTAAGGTTTTGATGCTTTTGAACTCTTCTACATATTCCGGCTCCTAAGCAACCAACAGTTCACACTAACAGTATCTGCGAAGATGATGAAAAAAAGGTTTGGTCACCTGAGAAAAAATTTAAGTTCACAACTGTACTTTGGGACTAGTTACACAACCTGTAACATATTTTCTAAATAGAATTTTAATGAAAATTTTCATATCATTTCATAGAATATGCTTGGATACAGAACAGAAGCAAGGAACACATCGAGTTTTGCTTGATTTTGCTTCCAAAGAACTGTCATCAACTTTAACAAACATACATCTCTAATTTCTTGTCCAGCTCCTTTGTAAGCCTGAAGGTCTGCAAGCATACTTTCCGAGTCCTGTAAAACTGCACTGATCTGATTCCATACCTCCCTTTCTCCGTCTGTGGGCTGTGCATCTAAGAAACAGAAAAGCAAAATGCACAAAGTCAAAAGGCAGCTGCAATACAAATGGCAAGATTACTCAGTTCTACTTCACAACATTATATCCAGCTTGACTATGTGTAACTCCACTCTGATGTGGGTTTTTTTTTTAAATATACAATTACACTGCAGTGCCATTCTGCTAACATCCAAGTTTCTGCTTTCTGTAGCAAGAAAGAAAAAACAGTACATTTTTTTGTACGCTCTGGCTCACAATGCCTCTTCTCAAAACGCAGCATTTTAAAGTGAAGCAGTATCATAAAGCAATGTTATTAGAAAATAGGATAATGCATCAGTCCTTTAGTAAAAAGGTCCCTCTCTCTCATGAGCTCCGTAGCTTGATTACAGAGAACTGTTCACTTTTCTTGCAGCTTGGGGATAAAAATTAGGCTTTTCAGTGGATGGAGCAGCAGGATATTATGCCACTTTGACTTTCCTCCAGGCTTCCTTAACCAAGGTAATTTATTTCTCCTTTTGTAAAACACAGATACAGTACTGTTAAAAATAAACATTTTTCTTATGTACGTCAGAGATTTTTTTTTTTCCTGCTACAAAAATAAATCCAGCTCTGTCAAAGATCAGTTTTCGGGGTGGGAGTGACCTGTAGACCTTTATTGTTCAGAGAAATGACATTTGGAAGTAGATCAATTTTCCCACTCAAATCCTATCCGATGGGATTTTCACAGCAGTATGACACCAGGGAGTGATGTTATCCGTAGAACATCAACATGTTAGACAAGGTCGAGATCTTCTGCCTTCTTTTGCTTTAAAACATAAAACTGGCACTGACTAAAGACTGAGTGACCTACATATAGAATTGCAGTCAGTATTTGTAGAAACAACCACATTGTTCCTGTAGATTTCTACAGAGACACAACTTTTTTTTTTTTTCTTAAATTTGTATTAGGTTGTAAAGACAGAATTTTAATTTTTATGAGAGAAAAAACACTTTGAAGGTGAATCTTAGGACTTAAGGATTACTTGTTTGAATTAAAAGCAATGAGAAACCTCAGTTCAAAACTCACTGATTAGGAAGAGCTACTGTACACATCCCTACATTAATAGACAAGAAAAAAATACCTTTTCTATTTAGTCTTCTCACTCTCCTTAAGAAATAAGACAAGAGATTTCCACCCATGTATCAATATGGGACTCATCTACCTACCCCTCATTAGAACTCTCCAGTTCACCTTGGACAGTATGGGAAGAGCAGGCATTCTCTCCATGATGCTCTAGGTTAGGATAACTTGTTAAAATTTCAGGTTATCTATGGACTTTGCATGAACGAGACACAAATGGCTGAGATTTACAAATCTGTAGATCTGAAGAAACTAATACTTAAAATCTTTTCTACATTCACGTGTCACCATCAGTCCCATAAGACTGGGCACATAAAACAATACTGATTCAACTTTCCCTTTTTTTTGGAAGTTTTCCCTAATCTTGTTTAAAAGACAGAACAACAGAAAGTAAAAATAAGCTGGGCTTACTCAGCTGGGTTTTACATCCAAAATACTTCCCATAACTAAAGAATTCCACTATCCCTCAAAAAGAGAGGGTAACACCAAAGGGAAAAACTATCCCGAACAGGAAAATCCCAGCTGGGACACAGCTTTTGAATTGAACTATTGGTCACATTAAGTTTACACTGGTACTGACTGGTTCTTTCCCCAAGCTGCAAGAAATCTCAGGTTTATGCCATAAAGGGTCTGTTATCTTGTGATAAAGAAACAAAACAGTAAATGTTTCTGAGTTTAACAAAGAAAGTGGTAATCTTGCTCAACAGCTACATACCATAGAGAAATATAACAGGGGAAAGGTAGGAGTCACCTATAAATCAATAGCTATCTTTTAATAGTTAAATAAAAGTTAATTAAAATACCATTTTCAATTAATATTAAGACACAAAAGAGAATAAGTAATTTATTAGTACAGTTCATGAGTGTAAAATTTGCATGTGCAGGTCACCTGAAGCATGGGTTGGTTAACGAGGTACTTCTATGTTACTTTTTACAATTTATTTGCTTTAAAAAATATTCACCCCTAATAGAAATGTAAACACTATAGAGTGCTCAGAGCTTTGGAATCTAAAAATGGCCTTTAGTAACACCCTTTACTGTTAGGGGTTTTTTTCAGATTTTCCCAATTCATCTTTTGGAAGTTGGGGGAAGTCAAATATTTGAAACCCATTGAGCTTTCTGTAGTATCCCAGCATCTGGGGAAGTAGGACTACGAGGAAGGTAGGTGGTTGGAAAAGGGAAAGAAAAGGAAGGGAAAGGAAGAGGGCTGCAAAGGCTACAGAGCAACAGGCTTAGCTTGCATTTGCAGAAGCGGTTTATATTTATGCTGAAAGTTTTTAGCTTAAAAATAAAGGTAGGGAGGATGATTCAGGCTTTCTTAAAAAAAAAATAAAAATCATGCATCTTACTCATGAAATATGTTATGCAAACAAATGTTCTGATAAGACCTTGGCCATGTTTCAAAACGGATTTTACATGAAGATCAGCAAAAATACCTATCATCATTCACTTTGAAAAATATTTCATTCATATGTTAACAACAATAATAATAATAGCAACAACAACAACTAAAAGGAATATGGACTTCTTCATGATAGATTTTGGCTTTTAAAATTGGTTTTTTACATGGTCCATTTTACATGGACCAGTTAGAACTAGTCCAGAGGAGGGCCACCAGGATGATCCGAGGGCTGGAGCACCTCTCCTATGAAGACAGGCTGAGAGAGTTGGGGCTGTTCAGCCTGGAAAAGAGAAGGCTCCGGGGAGATCTTACAGCAGCCTTCCAATATCTGAAGGGGGCCTACAAGAAAGCTGGGGAGGGACTTTTCATAAGGACAACTAATGACAGAACAAGGGGAAATGGGTTTAAACTGAAGGAAGGGAGGTTTAGATTAGATATTAGGAAGAAGTTTTTCACTGTGAGGGTGGTCAGACACTGGAACAGGTTGCCCAAGGAAGTTGTGGATGCCCCCTCCCTGGAAGTGTTGAAGGCCAGGCTGGATGAGGCTTTGAGCAACCTGGTCTAGTGGAAGGTGTCCCTGCTGATGGCAGGGGGTTTGGAACTAGATGATCTTTAAGGTCCCTTCCAATCCAAACCATTCTATGATTCTATGAACAATACCAAAGCTTGTTTTTCTGTTCTGAGTTAAAAAATGCCATTCCTGAATCACAGTGTGGAATCACTGCTTGGCAGCGCTCACCTCTTATCCCTGTACCACCAGAGAACCAGCACACACTTAAGCAATTTGAGCCTATTTATAAATAAAACCATAGCCACTGACTAACCCACATTAAATGCAAGCCCTCTCAATAATAAGTTATTATAATCACCGGGCTGACTGCATTTCAAGTCTGATTTTTACACTACTCATGATTAGCATTCAGAGTACGCTGTCTTTAATAAGACCAAACAGGAAACCTTTTCACCTCCCTTTGCCCAAATGTTTCTAATGTGAACCCTAAACGTGACAATTAAATGAACCTCCTATCAAATAAATTTGAGTCAGAACAAGCTTGACTCTTCCATATACAGATGCTACCAGCAAATTTTTATTTAGAAAGCAAAAATTTTGGCTCTGGAGAGAAATGTAATTCCAATGGCTCCATCAGAAATAACCAGGATATGATAATTCATCCATTCCATTAACAAATGCTCTCTTTCATCTTTACACATGGTCTATTTCATGTTTTGGATGTGGCTTCAGACTTCATTAAAAAAAGGGGGAAAGCTGGACCCACTACAATCCCTTTATGGATATATTAAATATTTCAGGTGCATGGTGGGGTGCAAAGGTGGAATTATCATTATTTTCTTAGAAAAATACCTGTTGCTTGTTTAAAAAACAAACAAACAAACAAACAAACAAACCCCAAACAAACCCTAACAGCACAAGGTATCTACCTCATTCTTCACCAAGTGTGCATTACAAAAACCATAGAAACTGCTGTGTAGGTAAGATATTAGTATTCACAGGACAAGACTGAATATAAAAAGAATAGCTATGAAGCCTTTACCAACACAAAATCAAGTATAACAATATCTCAGTAATTAATTTTTATGAAGAGTAACAAGACAGTACTGAAAGAAGCACTTCCAACTCAAGCACCCTTTCTGTATCTGAAATACAGAATAAAAGAACAGAACTTTATTCCATCCTCAGTCAAACTGATTGCAAGCAGAGAATTCCCACGGAAGCTGGAGAGTGCTGGCATTTCAGTGTATATGGAATGGTATTTGTCAAAAAAACCATCATACCCTCCTGGCCTTGACAGCCTAGCAAAAGAACAGTGAATAAAACAAGATGTCTTACAGGCTCTGCTTTCAGCTTTTCTTGTGCTGTCAACTGCTGAAGGTGGCCAATAATTCCACCAGCCACTGACAGCAAGTTAAAGAACAGTACATATATTTTACTGTAGAATGCTAAAGTCTTCTTTCAGGTTTGTCAACATGACAATGATTTTTTCCCATTCCAATCTGTGACAAAATAAGATGAAAAGCTAGTTTATGTCCTTAGAATGCACAAAAGGCATTTAAACTACAAAGAATAATGCATTTTAGAGGTTATCAGAACCTGCTATAACTCCATACATTAAAAAGAAATTTACTGGGTAGAAACAGTACCCTGTTCAGTCTACTACCTCCAGCCTTGCTGCCTGTGGCGCAAGGGTATTAATTAATATCCTATTATGCAAAAAGCGGGCAGTTGCTCTGCTGCCAGATATGTTCTAATAATAGACAGTTTTAGTCATACATGACAATGATAACTGAAAATTTTATGAGTCTCTCTGGTGATGAGGGGAGGAAATCCTAGAAAATAAGTGACTTTGATTCCTGAGGGTAATAAGGGGCATGAAATAAGGATAAGGTAATGAGCCCACCTAGCTAACATTCAGGAAAAAAGGGAACATGCTCAGGTTAAGGTTAGAGAGTTTGGTTTTATGAAATGTATCTGTAT